TAGCCAGGATAATATAATCTTGCTTCGCCTTGAAGTCCTCAGACACAGTCATGTAGCACTGCTCAATAGCTCATTAGAGCACTGAAAAACTCTCTTTAAATTTAGTTGGCTTTAGCTAAGAATCAATATAATTTATATCTTCTACCAGTTTTGACTGCAAACGTAGAAACTATCCGTCATAATATTTCTATAATGCCTAGTGTAGAGGGTTTATGATTTGATCATATTTATTTGCAGTTATAAAATAATAAAAATAATAAAAATAATAGTAATAGTAATAAACATCAACATCACAGAAACTGCATCTATGTACAGATGCAAATAATCATAATAATACTGCATAAAACCCGATGGAATTATAGTGACCTATAGTTGCGGTGAAGGAATAAAAGAAACAAAGGTGAGAGAGAGTATATTATTCTGTACTAAAGAAATTTATATGGCACTACCTATGTAACAACCAACAATGATTCTGAGTAGTTGAAAGTTTGGGGTTTTTTTAACAAGTAATAACATATAATCTCTTCTTAAACCTTGTTTCTCTTGCATAAAATGTATATGCAGTTAGGTAATTAGCGAGAAGGAAACAGAGAAGCAAATAAAGGTAATTATTACACCAAAAGACAGACTAACAGAACAGATGGTACTGATAGTTTGTGAAATAAATAGAAAAAGCAATTTCTGATCATTTGCCATCTGAATGTGATTTCCCATTCACTCTGCTTTCAATGGATTTACAAAGCTATTGGAGCAATTGAGACATAACTCGTACGCTTCCAATGTTATACACATCAGACACCCAGCAAACCATCAGTGAGTAGTACTAAAGATATTGCTAAAAAACTTAGTATGTGGATACTAAAAAGATAGAAACTATATGTAAGATAAGAATTATTTAAAAGACATTTTCAGTAGTACATTTTTCAGAAAAGGTCAGTATCTCAAATTTTAACATTCTGATATTAAATTTTCTTGAAACCTTCTCTTGCAACTTTTCCTTGCAACCTTTTCTTCCAACTGAGCAAGGAGGACAATAATGGCAGGGGGAAAGAATGTCCTTTATATTCCTAAAAAGAATACTAAGAATTAATAATCTAGATTCCATAGGACCATCTATCCAAAGAGATATCATAATATATTCTGTATCTTTTAGAATCTGACAGAGCATTCATTGAAACTGGAGAGCAACTTCACAAAACCTTCATTTTTTGGTGGCTTATATGCAGTCACAGTGAGGCTTTAATTCATTGGTTAGATGAAAAGCACAATTTCTATTTGCAGTGTGCACCTAATAATTACTGCATTCAGGTTTAAAAAAACCTGAGATAGGAAGATAAAATAAAAATGTATCCTAATAGTATAGACTGGTAAAAGGAGAATATGTTCTTATAGCTTCCCTGTATAATTACAGCTTTAGGATTGCCCTTTAGAATAGATAAATCTAATCTCTGTTGTCTTTAATGAATGACAATAAGGGCTTGAGTCCATACAAAGCTTGTATTCTCAACTGGTCTAGCTGTATGTGAGAGAGAGAAGTTCTTACTGAACGACAATAAACTCAGTCCGTTCCTCTTTCTCCTAAGAATCACCCACCCATGAATTGGTTCAGAAAAATGCCAGCCCTTAGATAAGTGTCTCTCAGAGACCAGAGACAGACACCACCCACAGCGTGGCCAGACATGCAGGTTGGAGGGATAAACCATTTTTCCCTGACAATGGAGCAGAACTTACAGAGGAAAGCTTTGAGACTCCTGTTCCCTGACACAATGATTCCCATGAAGCACAGGATTACTTCGTCCCTTCCTGATTATTCACCATACCCAGTCACTGTTGCTGCTACCCACCAGACAACCACAGTACATCCCCATAGGATTTAGTGTTTTCATAAACCATGCATTTCGATAAGATTAAAGCTGTCGGAGTTTCAGATTTTATCCCAAGTCTAGGTCTTTGGCTTGTGATTTTAATTCTGACTTTTGCATCACAACTGTTGAGTAAAGCTACATCCACCTGACTGGTATTTCATGTCTCTATGTGTGTCTGCCTTATAGCATTTTCAAAAAAAAAGGTTGTTTCTTTCCTTGATAAGGTTTAAAATATTCTCTTTAAGAAATAGACTTAAAATCCTTCAGAGAAATACAGCATACAAATATACATTTTTACATTTTACATTTTATACATTTTTTAATAATTATAGAAGTGAAAGTTCTGATGTAGCTCACATAGTTTTAATAGTTTCTATTTTACATTACTTCTATAAAGCTAACAAGACTTAACACAATTTTAACTGTGAAGTGATACCTAAATAGCTCTTCTGTTTCCTTCCCAGTACAGATAAGAAATAGGCAGTCAGTTTTGGACTACAGAACACGTGGATTGTCACTGTTTATAAAGTTTATGCTGTGTAGGATTGGTAAAACATCTCAAGATATGAACAATAAATGCCAAGTAGCATTTTCAGTATTTTCAATTCACTTATTAAAAATAAAGGTTTTATTTCTTCTTCCAACAATATAGATACTCCAAAAGTATGTTTAAATATACTCATCAGTGCAACTATCAAAGGGTAAGTGTGTATTATAGAAATGAGCCCCCAGATTAAGTATATATTGTGAAATGTATGTGAATGTGCATGACTTGAACCAATGAACTGTGGCCTGAAATGATGTCACAGAATGTGCAGCATTAAGTGGAAGGTTAAACCTACTTGCATCTCGGTTCATTAAACGCAGTTAAAGTGCAAATTCCCTCATTCTGACAGTAGTAATCACAAGGGTTCACTTTCTGGTCACAGCGCTGACTTTTAAACCCCACAGAGCATCTGCAGAATTTCAGTAAAATAGACCTACATAAATATTCTACCTTTTGCTGAACAGATTTAAAAGGCATTATATATAACGATGGCAAGACACGCACACGTACACAGGCACACATCCATAGATAACAAAATTAATACTCTGTTTTTTGCGGAAGGTCCTATCTGACTACACTGAGAAGTTGTTGATCAACCACCCTTAAAACAACGGGCCCACCCTGACTGACAGGTTCAGGAATCTAGCACTTTTAACAAAGTATTACTGTCAAGTGTACTATACATTTGTATTGATTAATCCAGACTGCAATGCCCTTAAAAATGGTCATGACTTTTCTTAGCATTGCTAACAACGTTGGCACATGCTGCAGCATTTATGCATTGTAAATCCATACACAAATTAAGGTAGGAAACCTTTTATTTTCCTTGAGATGCTATGGTGTTCCAAATGAATTTGAAAAGGAATAAGCCAGTTTTGAAAGGAACAAAAAGAAGAAGAAAGAATCACAAGCTTCCAAAATAACCATCCTAGGTGTTTAAGCAAATGAATCAGCAGACTTAATCATCATCTTTGGGCCTTACATACATACGGTGATACTCTCTTTTTGCTGAGATTTATTAGTCTCTCTAGTCGTCAGCTAAAACCATTTAAGGAGATACAATTAACAGGTAAAAAGGGCTGGATCAAAACAATAATGAAAAAGATACATAGGTACTTAAAGGTACTTAAAGCATTTTCAGAGGAATAAGGATTGCCATGCAGAATTGCATTCCATGGTCTCTAACCCCACATCCACAAACACCTACTGACAACTTCTTTGAGCTCTCACAGGGAGGAACAGTTGGTCTGTCTCTTACTATAGAACTACAAAATCCAGGCACGTAACATCCTTGGGAGTCTGAATACAAAAGGCACTCTCTTTTAAGATCACCTACCTCATATACATCAACAAAATGAAGGGATGGCTGTATCTGTATTTACGAAGTTGTGATGCCAAATCCCTTTGGGCAACAACTTAGATATGTCACCACAGAAATGAGACAGTTGAGTCCACTTCTCTCTTCCAACAACTCACGTGTTCCTAGAGGATGCTCTGACCCCAGGTTGTTCTCTGAATCATAGAATGGCCTAGGCTGGAAGGGACCTTAGAGATCATTTTAATCCAGCCTCCCTGTGGCCAGGGATGCCACCTCTCGACTAGATCAGGCAATACACGGGGACCAAGCAATCAAACCCGTGACCTTGGCGTTGTTAGCGCCACGCTCAACTGACTGAGCTAACTGGCCCCCTACAGAAGTGGAAGACTATTCCACAATGGAGTTTTTTCAGCAGTGCAGAAAAGGTCAGATAATTTATTAGGCAAATTAAAGAAAGATAACAAGGAGTATGACTAGGTAGCTCAGTGTAACTGAGAGCAGGAAAGAAATTAATTTCTTGCTACAGCGACTATTTCTGAATTTTATATTTAGCAACTGAAAAAGAAGATACACCATAGCTCTCAAGAAAGAACTAGAATGTAGGGTTTTCTACCTCTTAAGACAGTACTTCACTGTCTAGACCACAGAATCACGTTTCCTTTGGTACTTGATATCTGAGCTTAAGAAAAGCATCCTGAATTATTCTCTCAATCACGGTGCAGGAGAGAGAGCACAATCTCACCAGAGAACAGCCAAGCTACTGCGGGCAGTGTGAGGGTTAGGGCAGAAGCAAGAGAGACATGAGCACATCCTCAGACCCAAAAAGGAAATAAACACTGACTTTATTCTTCCTATTCTGTAGACTTCACGGGGAGTGTACGGCCCCCACTTCTGACCATCTTCCTAGGCAAAAAGAATTAAGTCACACTGAGAAGCAGGGCAGGCAACCATCCTGTACCTCGGGATTCCATTTCAGGACAAATGCCTAACCAGGCTTTAGATCTGGCCCCAACTTCTTAGAAATCTCAGAAGATCTCTTTTTGTATCTATATGCATTCACAATATATACCTTAGTTACATCTTTCAATACACGTATAGCAAAAAGGTAGACAAATTATTGGGTTAGTGAAGTAGCTAGAAAAAGCACTCGAAGTTACGACTGCAACTATTATGCATTCTAGAGAGATGAACAATACAGACAAATGCAGAATAATTTTATAATTTGCTGGGGAACACATATTTTGATGATCTACCAATGCAAGATACTCACAGACAGACAGGTATATTTGTCTCTGGGTCCAGCTGACATGTGCCACCATTGTAACAGTAGCCATCACATAACTGACAGGTAGAGGCGATCTTTCCGTTAGTGCAACTGTCACAGTTAAAAGAACCAAACAAAGAGCAATCAGTACTTTATTAAATCTAGTGAATTCCCTTGTAACTAGCTATTTACTAAAGCAGTGATTTTATGATATGTGTAAGATTTACTGAATCACAGAACGTTAGGGGTTGGAGGGACCTCAAAATATCATCTAGTCCAGCCCCCTGCCAGAGCAGGATCGCCTACAGTAGGTCACACAGGAACACGTCCAGGTGGGTTTTGAATGTCTCTGAAGAAGGAGAGTCCACAAACTCCCTGGGCACCCTGTGCCAGGGCTCCGGCACCCTCACAGGAAAAAAGTTTTTCCGAATATTTTTGTGAAACCTCCTGTGGTCCAGCTTGTACCCACTGACCCTTGTCCTGTCATTGGACACTACCGAAAAGAGCCTGGCTCCGTCCTCCTGACACTCCCCCTTGATGTATTTATAAACATTTATGAGGTCACCCCTCAGCCTCCTCTTCTACAAGCTAGAGACTCAGCTCCTACAGCCTCTCCTCACCAGGGAGATGTTCCACTCCCTTCATCATCTCTGTGGCTGAGCCAGACTCTCTCCAGCAGTTCCCTGTCTCTCTTGAGCCGAGGGGCCCAGAACTGGACACAACATTCCAGATGTGGCCTCACCAGGGCAGAGCAGCGGGGCAGGAGGACCTCTTGTGACATACCAACTACTCCCCTCCTAACACACCCCAGGATGCCATTGGCCTTCTTGGCCACGAGGGCACATTGCTGGCTCATGGCCATCCTGCTGCCCACCAGCACCCCCAGGTCCCTTTCCCCTACGCTGCTCTCCAGCAGGTCGGTCCCCAACCTATACTGGCACATGGGGTTATTCTTTTCCAAGTGCAAAACTCTACACTTGCCCTTATTGAACTTCATCAGATTTCTCCCCAAATTGATTACAAGAACTACGGCTTTTCACCTTGAAAAGCTAGCATAGGCAGAACGCTTATTACACAAAGTATTTTTATAATCTTTCCTTTTATGAAAATAAACCGTTATTGTACAAAATAATCACTCAGCAATACAACAGGACATTTTACCTCATATACTTTTATTAGTATACAACATGACGCTATCACTGTCACAGATACTGCAGAATGAACAAATTTCAACAGTGTGGTAAAATTTGACTGTTAACTTTATTAAATGTTCCATTCAGTCTCCTGCTATATTATGCTTGCCCTAGAGAGGAGTGCTCCAAAAGTTTGTTTAAAAAGGCAGGAGCCTTTTTGTGTGGTTTGGTGTGAGCAGGAGCCACACAAATGAACAGTTATAATGTGACTCATTCAGGGGCTAACCACTGTATAAGAGATGTAAAGGATAATGCAATATAATCGCTGTTAAATATATGATTTTGAACACAGTCATCCCCGCTACAAATACTTACTTGCATACTATGTCATTACTGTCCTTGTTTATTATGCAGTGTCCCCCGTGACATCTGATACATTTGTCCACTTCACATTTTGGACCTTCAAATCGTACTGGACAGACACATTCTACACTTCCATCATCAGAAATAGTACACGACTCAGAATTCACACAATAATGGTGGCAAACATCTGCAAGCAACATGAAAGCTAATTACTTAAAGACATTACAGAAAAAATAATAGCTTACTTTTCTGTGATTTAAAAGGTGCTATATGAAGCGGGTGGATCACTGGCAACTACAAGAACCACGAATACCCCATAAACAGACATATAGTATATTAAAGATGTAGTCTTGAGAAGTGAAACAGAAGGATAAACTCATAAGAATTTTTTTTTCCATTTATGGCATCATCACACATAATATAAAGACCAATGATGAGAAAAGCAGAGCAATGTTAATGTATTTAATTGGATATTGGCTGAATAAAAATCTTCTGATGCATTCACATAACCATTAACAGCATTATACTAAACTGAAAAGGAAACAGTATTTTGAAATAATTAAGTTTTATTTCCATTTATCTGCATATTAAAATTTCATGAAGTTCTAATAATAATATATAAAGACATAATCCATAACTACTACAAAAAACTACATATGTGCTTATCTTTTTAGACTGTGTAAGACACCATTATCTTATTTAACTGCTTAAATACCAGAAGGAATGAGATTTCAAGTAGTGGATTCTTTAACTCTTTAGAAGTGCCAGTAACTCCCATTTTTCTCCTTGTCCTCTTAAAAAACCCCCACAAACAGAACTAAACTGCCCCCCCACTGCCTAACTGAGCAATCTTCCAGAGCTACAGTATACTAGTATCTTATGTGGTAGTGACTTTTCTTTTTTTTTTTCAGTCATCATTTAAGCTCCATAATGGAGCCACATCACCCAAAGTGTCTATTTGTCTCTGTTTCTAATACTTTTTCCAGTTTGTGTAGTTAACTTGTTGTGTTGTGCTTTTGTTGTTTTCTGACAGGCAGATGAAGCAATAGATGTATCAGATATATCAATTCTGATCTACACATCTGTATTAGCTTAGAGTTAACCTCATCCTTATTAATAAAGTATCATCTTTCCGAATTTGAGCCCTTTGAAGCCCAGGACGTGGCTAAGGGTTAGTCGGGAGCTGTCACAAGTAGGGCATCATCCAGCTGTTGGCTAGAGAACGAACCTTGGCCAAATGGCAACCTCGCCCTTGAGTCTGGCAGTGTAAGCTCTCAAGCTGCTGCTTCGCTGGGGCCATGTCGTAAGCAGAAGACTGGAGACTACTAAAACTGATGTATTTTACCAAGTGCATTCGGGTTGGATATCTAAAAGCAGGAAACACGTTTTGCTTATGTGTCTCCAGGCTCAGCTTTTCCCCATCTCAGCATGGCTGGTACTGGCCACGCTGGAAGAATTCTGCTAAAGGACAAAGCAGAACTCTGGAGTGATTTCTTTGATTATTCACTGCATGTGTCCACCTATCTATAGATTCTTCTGCTTATGGAATCACTACTGAGCAACCAGAGAGGCTTAAAAGACACTAAATGAAATAGTTTGTTGTTTGCTGTTCCCCAATTCAAGGTACAGAATGGCAATTTTCAGCAGGGAGGCCGATTACTGAACAAAAAAAATATTGTAGTTTGAAAGCTAATATTGGGAGATAGTTTATGAAAAAGGGGTAGAGGTTTCCATGCACATTAGGACACAGAAAAACAACCACCCCAAATCCTAAGAACAGAACATTCATACTCTAAAAGAATTACTGGTTTTAATCTTAATTTACGCATTTAATCTTCTGCTGTATCAAAAATGTGTATGCTACATTTGGACTGAAAGGATGCTTTTTTTTTTTATTTATTCCCTAAAGAAAGGAACTTCAGTTTCAGAGAAATAGTGAGATCACTATATCCATTTTGAATGATTGTAACTGCATGAAAACGTTTTCGATTTTTTAGGTTGTTTGGGCCTTAAATGATACAAGAAATGAACTTTTAACTAGTCTGGATCTCTTATTTCAGGAATTTAAAATAGAGAGTTATATTCAAATACATCAGATTCCTGTGTATATAATAACACGCACAATGTCATTAGAATTTTATGTAAATTCATTCGCTTAAATTTATTTCAGCAGTGCCAGTGCCTTGACACGGAGCACACATTTTGGTTATTAGTCCTTATGTGAACTAATCACAGGAGAAACTCTGCACTGGGTAATTGGAGACGATAAGTGGGAGGAAAATAAGGTCTTTGCAATCTGGCAATACTGCAAGTAAATGTCTTCTCCCTGCCATAAAAAACACTACTGATATTTTCAGCTTGGGAGCATGAGTAAAATACCTATTCACATTCGTGTATCATCCTTTGCATATGAACGAGTTTCAATCACATCTAGAAAGACTGAAAAAGATATCTTAGAGGCAACCAATCTTTGCAATAATGCTATATCAATATATTCTAACGTGCATGTGACTAATAAAGCAAAAAAAGTCACACGTATTGTGTGATAAAGCAAAAAAATCCATAGATGTGAATTTGTACACACATTAACTCTAAACCTGTACCATTTCATAGAATTATTATTGCCAAAAAAACCCCAGTCAACCAATCCACCCCTCTGATTGCAAAACTCTTTTTTCCCTAAAACTATCAAAATTTAAATAAACAAAATCTTAATTTTATTTTCTATTTTTTTAATGTGTTCAAATCTCGTATTGTGGCATTTTTCCAAAGTGTCAGCAGAAAATCCAAATCTGATAATAAGCACTCTTTAAAAAGTACCCCTAAATTTACATTTAAACTAATTCTTTAAAGGAAAAAAAAAACTGTTTGGAAAAGCATTCAACTAGAAACAATTTGTTTGGTTTTGGGTAAGCCTCAAGCAAATATTTTTTCTTAATCTGTGTGTCTGTCTGTGCATGATTTATGTACTATACTGTTTTCAAATACCCAATTGTGTTTGCAGATAGTTATTTGTGGATCCACGCAGTTTGTTTAATACCAAGTGGGAGAGAACTGCAATTACTCCCGGTTTTCCATTCAAAGGCTTCAATTTATTTCATAGTCTCCCAACTGGAAATATATTCGGTTTAGTTCAGTACAAATCCTATTTAAAACATACACTAAACCTTTCCTTGTTTGACAGACCTTTCACTAAAACTAAATACTTTTTGTATCTTGTAGATAATTCCAAACCAGACCTTTATAAGAGCTAATTTCCCTTCCATTTTGTTTAAATCTAGTCACCCTCTGCAAATTCACTGAATTATGCACACGAGAGATGATGGTTCTCACATTTAATGTTCTATCCTGCAACAGGCACTATGACAGTCCTCTATTATAAGGTGTTAAAGCAAAGCAGGAGTAGAAAAAAGGAGACAAGAAAAAAAATAATTCTGATCCCAGAAATATAATCAATTTGTGGTTAGGGTTGCTAGTGAGTTATTGTGTTGAAGAGACACGAGGAAGACAAACTGAAATTTTGAAATGGGTGACCAAAAGAAGAAATTCAAGATTATGTTTCAATGTCTTGAGTTATTGAGACAGATGAGGGTGGATCCATGCTAAGAGAAAGACAAATGGAGTAAGAACAGAAGGCCTATTGGTTGATAATCTTTCTGTCCTCCCCTGTAAAAGAAGTAAAATATTAGAGGAGTTTCTAAAAAGAGAGAAGAGCCTTTGTAATGGATGAAAACCTTTGGAAAACAGTATCTCAATGAGAAGAGACTGATAGGTCAGTAAAATGAAAAACTAGGGAGAATTTCAGATGCAGGGGACAGAAATACTGAGACTTAAACAAGAATAATACTTAAAAATCCTGTTTTCAATACCAGGAGGGGGCAAAAACCATACTCAAGGGTGATCTTAAGCAGAGCAAGATGAAGGAATATAGAGGCATGAACATCAAAGGAGTTGTCAATATACTGCTTATTGGGGTTAGAAATAAAAACAAAAGGTAAGGTCACAGTTCAAGACACGAGTTCGTCTGCAACCATCAGGGACAAATGACAAATTCTTTAACCAACTGCATCAATTCACTATGTTTAGGTATTCCACTAGTCTAAGATAACAAATATGAGAAGTTGGAGTAAAAAATTTTAAGACAATTATCTTATTTCTACTGACAAAGTCAACTGTCTCGTACGGCTCTGTTGTTTTGTCCTGGGTTTGAGCTAAACCCCAGTCCT